GAGGACAGAGCCCGTCAACTCTTGGGTCTCCCCCTTTGGAACTTCAGAAGCTCTGCTCACCCTGGCAGTGAGTGGTTTGAGTCAGGCCTGTGCCTTTAGCGGTAAGGCCTGGGCCAGCTTTTATGCAGTCAAGCCAGTATTTACGATGCTCCTTTGATGTGACCAGCACTGGGTGGGGTGCTGAGGGGACTGAGAAAAAGAATAACTCGGTTCCGTTTTACAAAGTGAATTATTTGCTCTACTGGCTGTGCATCACCTTCCCCAGCTCAGCCCTGATCTTCAAGACAAGCCCCACGTTTGCTCTTCATTGCAGCCTCCCGAAATCCCCCTTATGAGTCAGCCTTACACCTGATAGCTGACTCATGCACTTTTAAAAACCAGCAACAATTAGTGAATGACAGTGTTCGGGTCACTCAAACACCTAATGAGAGCAGAGGAGCCTCTCTGGGAAGGTGGCCTAGGAGCCCCTCCAAATTGACTATGGTGCCAGGACATCGAGTCAGCGCCAGAGAGAGCCCCTGCTGGTCTGAGCAGGACCGCTGTGCCTGGAGCAGAGGCTCCCTCAGCACGGACTGGTCCTCCCCTGCCTCCCCCAGGTCCCTGGGGAGCTCACCCAAGTTTGTCAAAATTACACTTTAAGACTACTCCACAGAGCCTGAGTCTAATTCTAGACAATGACACATGTTCTGGACAGTATCTAACAGATCTCGGTTCTCAGTAAAGGTTGTTATTCAGTCATAATAGCAGTCCCCTGGCCCCGCAGTGTCACCCTGCTCACCACACAGTGGAATGTGTCCCGGGGCAGTGCTGACTTACTTCCCAATTAAGAGAGTTCCGTTGTAAAAAAGACTCACAGAACCTCACAGAAAGGATGCCTGTCGGTGCAGTTTCATTCAGAAAGTGTTTATTGAGCTGCTAAGCTATGCCAGACATCAAAGGTGGCTTTGTAAAGTGCCAAATAGAACTGTCATCTCAGAACTCTTCTGCACTTAAATCAATGTACATTTTTCTGATTTCTCCTCATTCCAGTAGTTTCTCCCTAAAGTGGATATACAGGGAGAATTGCACGAGAAAGTGGGCTTGGTCCTCAGCTACCCCAGGGGTCTTCATTGTCCTTGGAGGTCCTCAGCTCTGTTTTCTAGTTTACCCAGAGTTACACAAAAAGAGAATTTGAATCTAGGTAATAATCATCATAATAAAATAAACTGACACTTATTGAGTCCTTTTTACATATTAGGCACATGCAAGTTTCTTTATATATTTTTTTCTCATTTGACTCTCACAAAACCATGAGGAAGTAGGGACTATCCCTGTCCCCTTTTCAGAGGGCTCAAAGAGGGTGACTTGAGCAAGGCCACACTGCTGTTAAGTGAGGAGCTGGCTTCAAACCCAGCTCTTGTCTAGTCTGGCAACAATGCCCCTGCCTTAAAACTGTGCTAGACTCTCTAAATCACCTAAAGCTCCTTTCTTGAAAATCCTTTCCAGTCAGAGGCTAGCCGCTTTCACCTGGGATGACTGCCTTGAGGATGCTTGTGAGGTCAGTTCGAAGGGGGCGCTGATTTGTAAGCGGGTGGGGTAATTCTCACATTCAGCGTTTCCTTCCTTTGCCTGATTTGGGTTTAGGGCAGCTACTTCAGACCCAGGGGAAACAGCGGGGTAAATGAAACAGCTACAGCTATTGCGTTGGGGGACCTGGAACAGCTTCCTCAGAATTAGAAGTCCCCCGGGAGCCTGTACCTCTGAGCCCTGATCACTGCGGAGGGGAGAGGGAGACAGAGATGAGAGAAAAGGAGAGACAGATGGCTGAGACGAAGCATCACTTTCGTTTCCCTCCTACTCCAGCCAATGGCAGATAATTAACGCCTCTCTCAATTTAAATTTTATTCTAGCAAGGACAGAGTGGTCCACTCAGAGACACCCTGCGAGCGGACAGTTGTTTCAAAGCCAAGGAGGTGGAAAGGAGCAGGCAAAGTGGAGAAAGAGAATTATGCTAAGGTAAGTACTTTTTCTTCTTAAAATATTGGAAGAAAAAATATTTCTAAGGAGTGTGTGGGAGGGGGTGGCAAATAGAGATATTCAATTATAATGAAATATCCTAGAGGTCTTTATTAATTGTCTCAAGAGGGTTGATTAGTAGCTATACAGTTGTTAATGAAAATTATATTTATGAAATGCTTATATTTCCTTATTAATCTCACCATCTTGTCATAGATTCATTGTACAGTAGAGCTGAAAAAATCTAGAGATCAATAAAAACTCAACCTTTTATTTTTATACAAGAAGAAGACAGGTCAAGGGTAGTAAAGTAATAGTAATAACAGATACCACTAAGTTAAGTGTTTCCCACATGTGAAGCACTGCACAACTGTGCTTTCTAACCCTGACATTAACCCTGCTAGGAAAGAAGTATTATCCCATTTTACAGAGGAGAAAACTGAGGCTCAGAGGTTAAGGAGCTTGTACAAAGTCACACAACTGGAAAATACTGCCTAAGGTACTTGAACCTGGCATGCCCTCCTCCAAAGCCTCCATTTTCTCTGTCTATAAAAGGTAAAGAAAATCAAAGAGCTACTAGGACTGACAGCTGGTGACAAACCTGTGACCAGACCCCAGTCTCTTAACTCCCAAGCAGGGCTTTTCTTCCTTTTCATGAGAAGGCCAGGGTTTTTCCTTTTAGCCTCTGGCTTATTGGCTGGCCATCTCTTGCATATGCTGTTCCTAGATTTAATGATGACATCAGGGCCCTCAGCCACAGTGGTCAGGATTCCCAGACTTCAGCATCTGCCACCATTTGGCCAGAATTCACATATAGAAAGTTATTTCCTTTTTTAGCCATTAAGTGCTCTTGGCCACGGCAGCATCTACTGCCAGGTTCTCGGCTGGCTAAACAGCAGGCTCTGGTGTTCTACTGATGTCGAATCATAACAAGAACAAAGGAAACAGAAATAGTTAGTGGGGGGCTCATGATTCCTAAGGAATAGTGGGTTTCTAACCCTGCCTCCATCACTCTAGTTGTGTGACCTTAGGCGAGTCATTTAACTTCTCAGTTTCCTCTCATCTGAAGAAAGGGAATGTTTACTCATGGATATTAAACTGTGTGATATGTGGAATTGCCTAGAACAGTATCTGGCACATAGTAGCTAAAATAATGTTAGTTCTTTATTTTTCTTTTCTGACATTTCCAGTAAAAACTTCTCTCAAACATGATCCAAATAGCCAACTTGTTGCAGACTTTGACAGTAGAGCAGGCTGTTTAGAGTGACACAGCAAGGGCTCCCAGTGAGCGGAGGACAGGAAAACCCGGGCAATGGGAAGGATATTAATTTAACTGTAAATTGGTTATTTCACAAGGTGTAAAGATCCCCGGAGCAGGGGTGGAGAAGGCAGGTGCAGGGCCCACTCAAAGCAGCCCCCTCTCATTCTTGTAATTGGTCCAGCCTGCCTCCCAACTTTTCTTTAGCTCCAGGATATGATAAAATTCGTGCTTCCTGCAATTCCCTCCTTCTGAGGGGCCACGGCACTAATCTAAGCACTGATCTGAAGGCACACCCACAGTGGAAGGTTTGAAACTGTTCAGTTCTACTTGGAAGAGAAATAGGAGGTTTTCTACTCTGTGATCTGAGGAGAAAGGGCATCCTAACCCCCAACCCCATCTGCCCTCTCCTGAAGTTCTGCAAAAGGAAGGTGCCAGGTTTGATGAAAAATCTAGAAGTCCTCTGTGAACAAGAGCCTCATAAAAGAGACTCTTCCCAGTTTCAGCTATTTCTGTGTGACTCTAGACAGGACATTACCCCTCCTTGAGCCACAGTTCACTCATGTGTAAAACCAAGTGGTGAGCTGGGTGGTTGTTAAGGCCCTTCTAGCTCTAAGTTAGAATAGCTGGAGAATTTGTGACTCGTATGGCAAGTGAGTGGCAAAGCCAAGAGGCAAATCCCAGCTTAAAGGTCAGCAACAGTAGTCTCAGAAAAAAATCTGTGGTCATAAGAACCAAGCAGTACCTGTGAACTACATGTCACAGCGAGCCTTCATGGTAGAGAGGCCTTTGCATCAAATGAAATGCAATTTTCAGACACTTGGGCTGAGGACCAGATGACCTGGATTCTCCCTAGTGTTCTGCTGTTCATTGGGCACTTATTATATGATAGCCATATTAAATACGTTATTTTATTTAATTCTCGTAGAGCCTCACAAGGAAGGTATTTACTAACTCTTTGGCAGACAAAGAAATTGAAGAACAGAGGCATTAATTAAGTCACCCAAGGTCACAGTACCTCAGATTCTGAGACTGCCCAACTCGCTATCCTTATGAAGGCGAGTGGATCGTTGAAGTCTGAATTTTTCTGGCCCGTCATTTGCTAATATGTCAGAAACAATTGATCCATAAAGTAGCATCAGGCTGTCATTTGCCAGTAGTCAGCAGCTTCTGACCATAGAAAGGAATTCAGCTTCTTTTCAAGGAAACCTGAAGCTTTCCTGGAAAAGGGAGCACCTCCCCGCTTCCGTCTGCTCAACCTTAAGCCTAAGATGGGGCCAGTTGACACAGAGAGCTGCTGGAATCCCTGCTGGGTGAGGGCTTCCTTGGGTCAGAGGGCAAAGCCTGGGCCTGGTGTCGCAGTGGCCCTGAGGACTGCAGGTCTTCGGGTCCCTGCCCTGATTGATCCACAGGGGGAGGCTGCCTGTCCTGTCTTAATTGGTTGGGTCCAGAGGTGGGATCAGCCAGTATCCACGAGGCAAGGCTACACTGTGGCAGCCTGCTGGCTGCTAGAGCCCAGAACTTTCCATGGCATGTGCCCCCCCAGCCAGTATTAATGGTGAAGATCAGGTGGGCAGGTGGGTGTCTCTGCCAGAAAGGAGGATTGTAGAGATGCTTAAATGGGAGAAGCAGGGAGGCCTGGGAAGAGACAGGGGCTCAGAAACCACAGCCAAGGACAGAAGTCAGAAGAGCCCTAGTGCAGTGAGCAGAGCAGGGTGTTCCCCCAATGGAAATGTCCCGGACTCACTGTGTCATCTCCAACAAGTCACTTTCTTCTCCAGGCCTTGTTTTTCCTTATTTGTCAAAGAAGTGGTTGACGGGCAATCTAAGAAACCTCTCCTAGTTCGAATGGCCGAGTACCAGGAGGGGTGACAGGAGTGAGACAGCTCGGAGACAAGAACAAAGACCTGTTCAGGAGCCCAGTGAGAACACGGCTGGGGCCCTGAGGCAATGGCAAAGCAGGTGACACGATCATGTCACTGCCATGGCTCTCCGAACTCACGTGTCTGGGTGAGGGGATGCCCGGGGGTGCCAGGGTGGAAACCAGCAGCACACCCCTGGGTATTCTCTGCTATGCATGCTGTGGTCCCTGGGACTGTTCCCTGGCAGCTGCCGAGAGAGGAAAACACTTGGAGGGACAGCCAGGAGAGCAGGCCCCAGCCAGCTCTGCAGCCCTGGGGAACCTGGCAGGAAGGGGCAAAGTTCAGACCTGTCCCCAGAGAGCAGTGAATCGGGGTCTGGGCTGGGCTGTGACTCCGGGGGCAGTGGATGGGAGAGATGGAGACTGCTTGGCCTGCTGATATAAAAGTCAGGCTGGGACACATCTAAATGCCAGCTTGTGTCCCCAGCCAGGAGCCCACCTCCCCAGGCAAATGGAAGTGCCACAACTCCACACCCTGGCCTTGGCCCCTTTTCCGATGAGTTTCTCTCAGGTCTCCTGACTCCCCTTCCAGCGCTCCTCGCACTGCCCCTCCTTCCCTCAGGCCCGTCGGGCGCAGCGTGCCAGGGCCTCGCTCAGGAAACAGCCCAGCGGGATGCTGAGGAGTAGGACCCGGGAACCCCCCACTCCAAGCTGCTGGGAGGGGGGTAAAGAAAACACTGAGCAAAGGTACAGTGAGGATATGGACACCTTGTGTCAAGTGTCCTTTTTCAGTTACCCTGAGCCCAAGGAGTCATAGCCTCGTACAATGTCACTGCTGAATGGAACCAGAGGGATCTTTCTACTTCAAGCCCCTCATGTTACAGATGAGTAGACTGAGGTCCAGGAGGAGGAGTGTTCGGAAGTGCCCAAGGTCACGCAGTCGCTCAGTACCCCAGAACCCAGGTCTCCCAGCCACAGGGCCTGGGCTCTTTTGCCACATGCTCAGAGGAAAGATCAAGGAGCTGACAGAAACCTGCAACCCAACGGCCTGCACCCAGGAGGAAAGGTGACCAGTGGGTGCCTCTCCTGGCTCTTCTCTGGGTCTCACCAGCCTTGCCTGGGACAGCAAGTGGCAGGCAGATTGCTCACAGTGCACACTGGGGACATGATACTCTGCAGGAAACTAAGCAGGGAATATTTTTAAACCACCCAACATGCCTTAGGGGAAAAAAATCAAAACACTCTCCTAGATGTTGCAGAAAGCATTTCAAAAAAGATTCCAAGCCCAGAGGAAGCATCGTAAAACAATGATGGCTTTTTTAAAGGGCCAATTCCATCTTAACAAAAGTGCTTGGAGATGGACGGCGGACCCCTTCCTGGATGCCCTTGGAGCACCGCCGCTCCTCGAGGGCTGGGCTCACGCCCTGGACCCTCCACTCACCTGCCTACAGCTCCTCGTGTACCAAGTAAGTCATTTCCCTGGGCTTCGGAAGCCTCCCTCCTTGACCTGCCCAAACCTGGCCGCAGGGAACACGGTGGGAAGCGAGCCCACAGGTGGGGGGAGCTGTGGCCCCACCCAGCTGGAAGTCCAGGCCCCTCTTCGGCTCCTTCCATCGCTGGCAGCCTTGGTCGTGGTTCGAGTCCACCTTACCTCCTTCCCTCCTCTGGAGTTTCTGCTGGCTCCTGCGTCCTCGGGCCGCCTGTCCTCCGACTGCCCACTCTTCCTGCTCTCGAGCCTGTCAGTTGTTCCTCTTCCAGCCCCCTTTTAATCCGTATCTGTCACCCGCCCTCCTCCCACTTCTTCCTACTCTTTCTCTCCACCCCCTTCCTCCCTGGTCCCTCCCTCCCTCCCCTCTTTCGTGCTCTTAGAATCTTTGCTCATTTAAAAAGTTTTCCTTCCTCTACCTCCTTGCAGCCTCTCCTCCCGGAGTTCTCCCCAGGAAGAGACTGAGCCCTCCTCCCTCCCTGCATTCGCCCCTGTCCCTGGCCACCCTTCTGCTGAGCCTCCTAAGCCACCTCAAGCCAGGGCAGGGAGGCTGGCACTACCCAGAGATCTTCTTCCACATCCTGCTTGTCTGTTGTCAGATAAAAGGGCACCCAATTACGGGAAGGCCTTTTGGGGACTCTTACTATGCCCGCATCAGTGAGCTGAGCACCAGCCAGCATGGGAAACATGCTCTCCCGAATTACAACTGCCAACAAGCAGAATGGACACCAGGGGTCAGCTCACAGCTCCAAAGGGCAAGGAGGGGGCACCCCTACCTCTCTTCCTTCTAGGAGAAAATAGCACCCTCTTTGTACCAGGCACTGGGCTAGGGGGTGACATAACATATATATCTATAGATCTATAGATCTATAGATCTATATATATCTTTTTTCCACTTAATTAATAACATGACCCAGTTAGCAATGATAGAGTCAGGATTAAAAGGTTTCGCCAATGCCAAAATTCACCTCTTTGCTCTTCCCACAAAAACATACAGATATCCAAGCCGGAATTGGTCCGACAGAAGTAAGGTTGTCTGCTTCTTGTTAGATCACTGTCACTGGTGAACAAATTCAGAAATTGTGAGGAAGCTTCCATTGTCCACTCCTTTCCTCAACCCTTCAGCTGATCCATTGGCATGTGACAGAGGTCAATGACAGAATTTACTATGAGTGGGCAGAAACCAGATAACCAGCGGCCAAGAGCCCACTGATGGAGAGAGCTAGATGAAAACCCCAGAGATTGTCTCTAACAACCAGGGAAACTGAGACCTAGAGAGTCAAATCCACCTAATGTCATGCACAATAAAGTGAAGGCAGAGGCCGGACCAGAACCCAGGTTCATTTCTCTGTTCCGCATCGTCACTTTCACACGTGGTGCCACCATGTTCACAAACATCCCACCATGTGGCAAAGCCCTTTGTTTCTTCAGTGGGCAACACTTGAACAAGCTTAAAATCCGCAGGAGGGGAAAGAACATGGGGCCAAATTTCCTTGCCCAGGGATACAACAGCCCTGAAGAAACAAACGCAGGCGTCTTGATTCCTTAGCCAGAATGTCCCCACTTTTTGTTATGAAGCATCAAAGCAGATTTGGGGGTCAGCTCAGGTTTGAATCTGGCTCTACCCCTTACCAGCTATGTGACACTGGGCAAGTTAATCTCTATGCACCTCAGTCTCCTCCACTGTAAATGGGGGGTAATAATAACCACCTCCTGAGGTTGTCATGAGGACTAAGGCATTGTAAAGGACCAGGAGACCGTGTGATACCTGGGAAGTGCTATGGATGTGACTGCAAAATATGATACAATACAATACATTACATCAATATAATACAGTACAATATAATACAATGCCTATTTCCTCCTGCCTGTGTCTCTCCTGGCTGACCAAACTCCTGAGATGAAGTCAGCATGTAAAACCTTAGAAAGCCCTGGTGATACCCAGTTTCTTCTCCAAAACAGAGATTGTCCCCACACTACACCTTTGTTCTTACATCCCACCCACCCTACAAATGCTGAGGCTCCTGGAAACACCTTATTACCTCCAGCCAGGAGAGGGCAGTTAAAGAACCCGTAAGTCTCAGTTGAAGGATCATCTGAGGTGGGGAAGGTTTCATAGAGCAGTAATTCCTAGATCATTGGCTGCCAAAGGAGAGTCTAGCTGGGGCAGGGCTGGGGATGAGGGAGGAGGGCGTTTCCCTCTGGCTACACAGAAGGAAAGAATTGCCAAAATGCAGGCACACCCATGATCCTGGAGCGAGCACGGGGCGCGGAAGGGAAACGCTCTCCACTGGCAGGTAGAGAGAAAGCGGGAGAAATGGGGTGGGTTGCGGAGCGATCAGGGGGTCAGGATGAAGCGGGGAAAAGGCCAAGGTCTCAGACTCAGATCGTCCCCACTCAAGTCGAACAGCTCTCCAGCCAGGCACTGCACTCAGGATGGCATCTGTGACAGAGTGTGTATATATATTATATATATATATATATCTTTATTGATCTCAGAGAGAGGAAAGGAGAGGGAGAGAGAGACAGAAACATCAATGATGAGTCATTGATGGAGCCCGCACCCGGGCATGTGCCCTGACCGGGAATCGAACCCGATCTCCTGGATCCTAGGTCGACGCTCAACTGTTGAGCCACACCCGGCCGGGCGACAGAGTATATTTTGATGGCCCAAAGCTAAGTGCTTTGGCAGGGCCTTCAGCAGTCTGGTTTATTACTCACCTGGATCCCTCCCTGGCTCAGGTAAAGACTCTGACGAAATTAAGAAAAATGTCATTTGGGCTTAGATCTAAGGTGATTGTCTAAAGAGACTGAATCAGTGGTTGGAGTGTTGTCTGATGCGCCAGAAGGTCCCGAGTTCGACTCCTGCATAGGGCACATACCTAGGCTGTGGGTTTGATCCCTGGTCAGGGAGTGTGCGGGAGGCGACCGATCAATTTCTCTCTCATCTCTCTCTCTTTCTTTCTCTCTCTCCCCCCACCCCCACTTTGTCCCCCTCTAAGATCAATAATAAAATAAAGGGACTGAACCTGTCAGTCACCACATATTTAAGAAGGGCACCATGAGCAGAGGCCTGATGCCCCCAAAAAGGAAGGGTAGGGCAAAAGCCAAGGGTAGAAACTGAGGGTCTGCCACACTCTCCCCTTTAGCCNCTCTCTTTCTCTCTCTCCCTCTCACCCCACCCCCACTTTGTCCCCCTCTAAGATCAATAATAAAATAAAGGGACTGAACCTGTCAGTCACCACATATTTAAGAAGGGCACCATGAGCAGAGGCCTGATGCCCCCAAAAAGGAAGGGTAGGGCAAAAGCCAAGGGTAGAAACTGAGGGTCTGCCACACTCTCCCCTTTAGCCTCATGTTCAGCTTAATAAAGGATCTTAGGAAGAGGTGCCAAGGTCTGTGTTCCACACATTAAAAAATATGCAGAACTCAGAGAAAATTTAGAGAGGACACCAAAATCTGGTCAAAGAATTGGTAAATAACACCTATAAGGAAAGGCTGTAGAAGTGGGATGGCAAAATAGATTTTATTCAACATGTATAATGTGCCAGGCTTTGTGTGAGGTACACT